GGTTCCATGTCTTAGTTCCCAGTCTGGTATTTATGTCGTAGTATTTACTCCTTGTCCTTGTACTTCGGTGTTGTGTTTTTGATCTGTTAGGTAGTCTGTCTGTGTTTTGGGTTTCAGTCATGACTGGTGTCTAGTTTACTCTGTGTGTTTGTGCTGGTTGGTCTGGCACTGTCTGTGTGTCTGGTTTTGTGGTTATCCACATCTTAAAGTTACTTAGTGTCTGTCTTGTCTCGTATCTTAGTTCTTAGTCCTGTACCTTAGTTTATGTGTTAAGTGTTCACTCCCAGTCTGTGTACTTCTGTTTTTTGCCTATGTCTATCTGAGTTCTGTTTTATCATTGCTTCAGTCTGTGTTCCTTGTTGTTCATGAATGGTGTTTTGCATCTGCGTCTCTCTTTTCCCCCCTGCTGTCTCTCTGCCTGCCTGCGTGTCTGTTTCTCCATGCTGTCTCTCTGCCTCGTTAACCCTGATCCCTGTCACCTGTGTTGCTCCTGCCCCGCTCGTTAGTCCCTGTGTATAAATGTCTGGTGTTTCTGTTCATTCCCTGTCCGGTCATTATAGTGTGTAGATGTCGTCTTGTGATGTTCTGTTTGCCTGCCTGTCGTGTCACCCTGTTCTCTGTGGATTTGGATTTCTGTTTGGATCACCTGTTTTGGATTTTGGACTCAGTCACTCTTTGTAAGTGTGCTCGCCTTTGGTTCGTTTATTAAAACCCTTGAACTGTACCTGTCAGCCTTGAGTCCTGCATTTAGGTCCACCAACCTGCCTCGCCACACACATCCTGACATGTGTGATGTGTTATTTTGAGGGGACAGCAAATTTACACTGTTATGCAAGCTGCACACTCTTACTTTACATTGTAGCAAAGTGTCATTTCTTCAGTGTTGTCACTTGAAAAGATATTATCAAATATTTACAAAAATGTGAGGGGTGTACTCACTTGTGAGATACTGTATTAACTGAAGAAACCTACCTTGAACAGAATGTACAAATTAATTTCTTCTGTTCAATAAAATGCTGTTCAGTCTAGTTTCAGTGACAAGAATAGAAAAAATATGACTTGTAATTGTTAACAGTTCATTGTGTGTTTGTTTTTTCATATTTTATTGGGGCATCACATATAAGGAAGTTTACAGCTGACTATCCTATGGTACAGAACACCAGAGTTTAAGTCCACCTTTTGCTTTGTCATTCTGTCTTCAACTTATCCTACATTTTACATGGTCCATAACCCCAACATTAACTGCTCATAGCAGCTTTTTATGGGCTATTGAGAGAGAGAGCGTTATGGAATTGATGAGAGGGAAAGTGGGAGGAAAAATGACTAAGTGTGGAAAATAGATGATTGGGGAAAGTCAGTGAATGTTCTCATGTCCAAATCATTTCACCCTTGGCTTTGGTCCACTTAATCTTCCATTTCAGATGCATTCTGTCTTTATTATAGCATTTTTTTTTGTTTATCTGGTCATTTTATTTGGTTTGGAACATTTATGATTTAATCAGGGAATGGAAAGAAGTAAAAGGCAAGGTAATTGCAATGCAGAAGAACAAAGATGAAACAAGAAAAGACCTTCTGCCTTTTCAGAAATTAGTTGTTTGTTTTTGTTTTTTTAATAAAAAAAATGTACTATATATTGTACATTTTCTCCTCAAAGCACAAATCTGTCTGTCTTTTTCCAGTATCCAAAGCTCTCTGTGACCTTATCTCTCAATTCTCAGACAGGCTTATGTTACATTCTGGTCTTTGCTTTAATTGTCTGCTTCTGTTGCTATCTGACTTTTTATGCCACAAATTTCAGAAAACTAGAAGATGTAATTTAGATAAAACCAGCTTTACACACGTTTACTCTGGCTAGAAAGCCGAAAGCCCAGAAAACATTTAGCCAGAGTTTTCAAATTCCAAAGGGTCGGCTACTTACCACAAACCTTTCAACTCTCTCTCTGCTGATGCACCCTAGAGTGGACGTCCCCTTCGGAGTAGAGTGGTGTATGATGTCATTATGACATCAAATGTGGAACACTAGATCTTCACACAAGCTGAGGAAGTTTTTGATTCATTCTTTAAAGTCAATGTCAGTGATCACCAGTTAAAGGCAGGGTAGGCATCATTTTGATGGTAATTTGTTACTTTCATTGCTAGCAAACGTAGCTACCTAAGCATAGAGTTAACGGTAGCTACCTACTTAGCATTCAGCTAACTGTTGCTACGAGTGCAGGCTGGTGTAGGAGCCAGAGTAGAGACGATGAATTATATCTAGCTGTAGGTGAGCTGGAAAACAGCAGCGCGAGCTGTGTTTTCCGACGCTAACATTAGGTTAGACAATGTAAGTGTAGACTGCGCCGGTTTAGTTATTCACCATATAGGTTTATTGTTATACTATGTTTACACCTAACTTTACGTTATCTTTACCTTGTATCTAATCTGTTTGTGATTCTCTTGTGCCTGCAGTTGATGTTTGACTGTGTTACTTTTACAAATGTGGTGATGTAGCTGTGTGTTTGTAGTTATGAGAGACATTTCAACGTTCGTATACATAAACAATGATTGCTAAATGTCCCAAAGTATCTGTGTTTCTGGTATATAAGCTACTTATAATATAGTTTGACATTGTTTATAGCTAAACCTACTGTGCGAAAACCTTTTACTGTAATTGGTGCTGTTATGCCATTACTTATTTTACCAGAAGTAAAAAAAAAAAGAAGAATCCTGTGTTTTATTTCTACTGTGCCCTCAGGTCACCAGCAGATTTGGAGTCTTTCATAGCCCTGTACTTCTCACCAGTATACGCTGATTGGCCCATGTTGGTTGGCCTGGATTACAACCACCGTGTCCACAGTCCAGCCAGGAGAAAAGCTGATGACACAGTTCAGTATGCTGCATTGAGTCCTCTTATGCATTTTACTCAATACATTTATACGTGATGAGTCAAAAAATATTAAACAGTATGAGGAACACCGATAGATGGTACTGATTTATTGTTTTGATTGCATTTTATGTGGAAATGCTAACTGCTCTATATAATCTAATATCAGGCATTACAAACTTTTCACTAAGCTGATCCTCCTTTCTGTATTATCAGGTACAAGGTGTACAGCAAAAAGTTCAGGAAGTGGAGCTTGTACTCACTGAAGGTGGAGAAGGACTACAGTTCGCAGAGTGCCATCCTCCTCCAATGGTTGTCTACTACTGAGGAGATGCCTAGTAGCAGAACCAGGAGACCTGGGGCCTCATTTATAAAACCTTGCATAGGATTTGCGTCAGAAGTGGCGTACGGATGAAACATAGGACGCACAGAAATATTCGGATTTATAAAACCGTGCCCACGCACATCCTACGCAGTTTTCCCTTAATAAATCACAATCAATTCTAAATGCAGCGCAGCCCATAGTTGCCCATAAATAGTCCGTGAAACGCCCACAAGTTAATATTCATCAATTGCGATATGGCAAACAGAGAGGAAAACGAAGAAACGTAACTTCACTCAATGTGAAGTAGAAATAATCGTTGGCGAGGTGGAAAAGAGGAGTAAAATGTTGTTTGGAGGGCACAGTGTGGGCATTACTAATGCCAAAAAGGCACTTGAGTGGCAAGGTTGCAGACGCCGTTAATTCTGCACCCTCACAACCTCGGACCGTGGCCGAAATAAAAAAGACACCAAAATCGATGCAAAAAAGCGTCTAGCGCTCCATCGCCAGAGTGTGTCTGCCACGGGTGGGGGAAAGGGGACACCAGAGCTGACCCCTCTTGATGAGAGACTGGTGGCAATTATTGGGGAATCCCTATTACGTGGAGTGGTGACTGAGGGGGACACTGATGCGCCAGATGCACCGGATGACACAGTTAAGTGAAATAAGTAAAATGAATGCAGTCAAGTCACATGTATGTAGAGTTTGCATGAAGGACCGCACATTTTCCCGTCAAGTTTGCTTTTTATAAATACCAATTATTGCGTAGAGAGCAGCGGACTCCTTCTTTTGTGTGTACGCAACGTTTATAAATGAGGTGATGATCCCCATGAACATGGGGTTCAGTCAGATGTCCCTGCCCCAACTGTACTGCTAGACACAGTAAAATGTAATATGGTTGGTTTTGAACTATGGTAATCATGTCAGAGAGGTGATTGATCATCTCCACAGCAGCTATATGATGCTACATGCAAGTCTGAACTGTCTTCATAATCAGTCTGTCAGGACCGGGGCCAGAGACTCAGACGCAGACCAGAGTAGGTGCAATGGGAGAATTAATTTAACACAAGTGAGAACAGAGATGTGGCTTGGGGGGGTGATCGTTCCGAGGGTCAGGAGCTCCAGGCTCCTATGCTCAGGGGGTTCCATGTCTCAGCAGCGAATCAGAGTCTGTGATCAGGCAGGTATTCTGTGGTCGCGACAGGGAGAAAACAAGTTAGCATTCAGCACAAGGATTCAGACTAGATGCTAATAGTTCAGGACAGAAAATGGGCTGGCGTGTTTGTACTGTATGGTACAACAATCCAGCAGGGACTGGAAGATTGAGCTGGTCGATTGAGTTGATTGCAGCATGAGACATCGGTGCGCTAATTAACAGGATGCGTCTCAGGTGAGTTGACTGGAGCTCAGGTGACCGCGCCCACCAGCAGCCCCAGAGCATGAGGGAGGAAGCAGAACACAGAGACAGACATAAAACCAAAACACCCAGCACACTGCAAACATACCAAAGGGAAAAAGAACTCAAAAACTACAATCACACACATACCAACAGGAAGGTCAGGGTCACGACCGGGGGTTCGTGACACAGTCAACATACCTCTGGACACACACACACTTATTTTTAATGTTTAAAATGATCTATTTGTGATATAGGTTGTAGTATTTAATAACAATAAACAAGTGTCATACCACATTTGGATGTCATTATGGGAGACACAAGACAAATGTAGTTGCTTGATTGTTTATGCTGCAAGTGTAAAGAAAAGGCATTTTTATTTTCAACGTTTTATTTAAAAAAAATAATGAATAATATCCAGAACAGGGAAAAATATACTACTTACTTACTTTTTTTTCTCTATACTCCTGGGAATAAAACTAACAAAGTACAGTATTCATCCACACAGTGGAGGGAATTATTTGTGTAGCAGTTAGTGACATTACATCTTACACCCTGCTAGGATTAAACCTCTGTATTGTCCTGGTGGATCAGGTGAACAGTTGCATATCTCCCAGAAACAGCAACTCAGTATTAAGTAAGTGCTCCACACTGTAAACTGTCTGTATGCTGACTGAACTGTCTGTTACTCTGTCCTGGGTCTGGAAGATCAACCATGTGTGGTGCATGGAAACACTGTAGTCTTGATGTTGTCCTCAGATTCTGGTCTGTAAAGGAATATATAGTTGTTAGAACTCCAAATGGGAAAGATTGGTGTAATAGGACAGAACATTCATCAACATGATCAGATATTTTTACTGAACAGGGGTTTGATGTTCTCTAACAGGACTTCTGTGTCTACATTACACACCAGGTCAATGTACATGACACAGATGAGCCGATGGTTAAGCAGAGCTGTAGTTAGTTGTAATCAGTAAACGATAATAATAAAGTAATAACAATAGTGATGGATTACATTTATATTGCACTTTATTTTTGACGCCCAAAGGGCTTAGGGAGAAACACTGAGACAAGTACACTGGGAGACAATAGACTAATATTAAAATATATATACCTGTTCATATGCCGTTGGAGTGTGAAGCTTGACGCAGGTCATAGAATATGTGCTGCTCGGCTTGCACCTCGTCCTCCTTGCTTCGCCTTGACCCCAGGCTGGTCCTGGTCCTGTCCCGGTCTGTGCTTGGCTCTGAAGTGCAGTTCTCATCGGAAACAATAATGCTGTCACCGTGGAAGCTCTAACATGCAAAAGAACGTACATGTTATGAGTTATGAAATTCACGTTCGTGTAGTGTAACTGATGGTAACGGGAAATGTGTATCGTGTATGTTTTTAGCTTTGCCCAATGTTACCGCAGCTGTTAGCACAGTTACCTGTTGCTAACAGTTAGCTAGACAGCTCGTTACTGAATCAAAGTAAGTCTTTTTAAACCTATCCAATATTAACATGCTAGCTTGATAGTGAGTACTAACAACCGGGTTAGTTGTTTATTTTCATAACAATAAAGTTAAATGTTTTCTTACCCCTGATGTGAGCCGCTGCACCATGCTGCTTTCTGCTTGTCACACTGTGCTTGTCCTCCTGCAGTGTTCACTTGTTTTGGGGGCGTGGCTTTGAAAGGAGCCCAAAAGGGAGGGGGTGGGAGTTTCTCTGTTGGATACTTTCAAAAATCCAGCAGTTTGTTGCTAGTATCTCAAACTTACCTACCGTGCCTTTAAGCATCTTCATCCTGTGCAATGTGACTTATTTCTGAATGAAAAGGAATATGTTGCGGAGTGTAATTAGTGAGGAGACAAGAGACAGTTGTGCGTCGAGTCAGCTTTACTCTCCACTTCAATATAACACTGTACAGTGTACGAGATCAAAACACTAACCCGTGAACCCGGAACTCTCTTACCAACCTCTCTCCCTTAAAGGTACAGTCCCTTGGTGAATGTCTCTTTTTGTCTTACTTGTGGGTCACCACAATGTGATCAAGGATACAGTCGCAGGAAAAAGTATGTGGACCCTGTGTTTGTCCCTTGTTGTGACTTAGATGAAGATCAGATCACATTTTATGACCAATTAATACAGAAATCCAGGTAATTCCAAAGGGTTCACATACCTTTTTCCTGCAACTGTGGTTCATAGATGTTTATTATTATTATTTAAACATAATGGGTAAATCTTAACTCTGCCAACAGTGAACAGCGCACATTCAGTCAACCAATCAGCAGCCATAAATGTAAATTGGCTGTGCATGTGCCGAGATGATAGCAGCTTGAAAAATCATAATAGCTAGTGATAAGCATGTAACATCATGTAATCTATGTGACTTTTGAGCAGGCTTTAGCTGCTTTTCAATGAAAACAGTCAGCAACACTGCTGGTTACCCTGAATCATATATGACTAATGCATAATATTTTAAAATTTAACAGGAAGAGAAAGGAGATGGATTTTGATTTTTTTTAAAAACAGTCAAAACCAAATTATTTTGGCCTTATAGCTGACATTCAACTATACTGATAACTGGACACAGGGACACAGGAGTAGAACTTTTTTTTTTTATTATTTTTATGTTTCATTGTATCTTTATGTATAAGTATTGTTGAAACAGAAGAAGAAAACTTTAGAGAGAGGTTGAAGAAAGTCTGATGAACCTCATCATGAAGTGAATCAATATTTCTAACATAATATTCAGAGCACAATGCCTTAAAAACAATACAAATCCATTAAGATCAGTAATAAAAGGGCAAAATGAGTTGGATTTTCATAAAAATACACTTGATAGACTCAGACAATAATTATCCCGTGTTCTTGGATGTTTATGGTCCTCAACCTGAGCTGGATGCAAGGTCGGGACTATAAAAATGTAGCAATCAGGTTATACTGCTGTTGTCTCTCTCCTCTCCTCTCTGTGTCATGGTTTTTATTAAGAACTGCATGTCTGTGTGTCTGTTTGAGAACAGGGCTGAGCTACACACACACTGTCAGGCCAGTGTGTCAGGTCAAAGTAGCAGGGCGTTGCTCTGTGTGTCACACTCTGCCTGTCTGCCATGTCATGTTTTGTACTTTTATTCAGTTTTATTATCTGTTGTTTTGGTCTGTTGGGTTTTGGGGTTCTGTCTTGTCTGTTATCTAGTGTTTAGTAACCTTTGTCATGTCTGTTACCCCAGTGATCCCTCTGCATGTCTGTCTCTGTTTCCCCCCCCCGCTCTCTCTCTGCCTACCTGTGCCTCGTTAGCCTCATGTCTGTCACCTGTGTTGCTCCCGCCCTGCTCGTTAGTCTCTGTGTATATATACCTGGTGTTTCTGTCTTGTCATTGTTTGTTGTCACCCAGTGCTGCAGTATGTTCCCTTGTGGTTTGCCTCACTTGTTGTGTTTCCCTGCTCATTTTGGATTTCTGTTGGACAACCTTTGTTTTTGGACTCTGTCAATCAGCCACTCAGTCTGTAAGTGTGCTCGCCTTTTGTTGCCTTAAATAAATCACTGAGCTGCACCTGCTAGCCTTCGTGTCCTGCGTTTGGGTCCTCCAACCTGCTCAACCCTGCCTTCACCACAAATTATGACACTGTGTGCCTTTGTCCCCTCCTCCCTTCCCTGTGCTTGTGTGTGCTTAATTACAGGAGTGGAGCCAGGTGTGTGGGAGTCAGGAGACCAGCTTCACGTCATCGGCCGCAATCAGCTCTGCCATATATACATGGTCTTCCCTTCTATTCATTGGCAGGTTATAGACAATACTCTAGATAGTGTTGCTCATGCCACTTTATATTCTGTTTTGCTTCTTGTAAAACTACCATTAATTTTGTATCTTGTGTTGGCAGACTCTCTAGCTGGACCTGAGTCCTGTCACTGGTCCACCCCTGCCTCGCATGGATTTTGGATTCAAGAATATTGGAAAATCAGCTGGATTGGAATACATCCATCCATCCATCCATCCATCCATACATCCTCCCTGGCCTGGCTCTCTCCCGAATCCCTCCTTGGACTTTCCCCCTGAAACCCCGGACTCTGTCTTTCCCTTGCACATAAATTAAACATTGTTACCTCTAACTCTTATGGCTCTGTGTTCTATGTCTGCACTTAAACACTTCAGAAAATAAAGTTTTAGTTAATGCCACTCCCTCTTGTCATTCACTCGCTCAACCACTGCTGCTCTCTCACTTGTTGAGCCAGGCAGGAGGGGCCACCTTTGATTGGTGGGTTTGATAACAGCAGCCAACAAATGCTACTCATTCCACCCCTACGGGTACTATTTCTAAATAAAAGAATAACCACATTAATCATGGGTCTTGTCTACTTTTGATTTCACACGTTGACAGCCCAGCCTCTGTCTTCATTCACTGCCAAAATAGAAAATAAATGTACTGAGGGCATGAGACCTGATTATCAAAGCCCATTCCTGAATTTCTATCTACCACACAGCAAAAGGAAAGAAAACAAAATAGAACATTACATTATCATTATACAGGGAGAATAGAAAAACATATGAGCAGGGTGGAAGCAGTGTTGTACAGGGCATAATACAGGAATGAGGATATAGTTGATCATCTGCTGTTTCGTGAGGAGGTGTGAACAGAGAGAGCTCTGGGCTCAGCCCTCTTTACCCTTCATGCGTCAGCAGTTCCCCTTGGATGCTGAGAAAGTTAGGAGTTAATAGTGAAAGAAGTTAAAGGTAGTGAGAAAGTAGAGAATCGGTACGTAAGCAAGGGAAACAGAGATGGGATGAAGGGACAAGAAGGAGCAGCAGCTGTGGGTTATAAAAGTAATCTATGCACACTGTTTTTCTCATTAATTAATGTTTATTTGGCTCACTGGCCGTTACAGTTCTCTACAGACTCCTGCTCTCAGTTTGAAACTGGCAGCATGGTCACATACCTTGGAGCCTCACTTATATAAGTGAATACATAAATGAAAATCGAAACACTCCCTTCCTTTCCACACCATAATTTTACTGAGGGTTTAACTACATATGCACAGGCGTTAAGAATGTTGAGGATTTCAATTAATCAGACATGATAATGAACTGCTGACAGTTTTTCCCACTAGCTGAAAGCAGGGCCAACAGCATATGAAGCTGCTGCACTGGCAGCAAAACGGTAAAGAGCCTTGGGGACACTGAAGAATAACAGGAAGATTATTTTAGAGGCGTTCACACAGCATTTGCATGCACACTTTACTCAGGGTTTGTTACTGTGATTAAGTCTTGTTTACATATAATTTTTCATCCCACATACACATACTGTACAACTCCTACACATACAGTAGACACACTGAAGACACTATGTTCTTATTACACCTTCTATCTCTGATGGATCATAATTTCAAGCAACTTATAATTAAATCCGCAATTATTATACTTGAGTGCAGGTGTATTTATTTATTATTCAAGCTTTCTCTTCAACCAATACTGTATACCTTATTATTTTGTGCAGCTGTGCAAATTACATTGAGGAGTATCACAGCCTGAGGGAAGAAGCTGCTCTGTAGCCTGGTGGTATGACAGCCGATACTTTATGAAGGTACGATTGGAGCAAAACATCTGAGCACCTGTGACATGGAACTTGTAGTTGTAGAAAAATAGTCACTCATCATCAGTAAATAGTATCAGTAAATTTGTCACAGCGAAAAAATAGGATTTGTAAACTCGCCTGAAAACAACACACCAGTTATACCTTTTCAAATTCTTCACTGCAGATACACAAATTGTATTCTATGAAGCACAAATTAAGATAATCATACATTCATATGTTTGCTAGTTGCTGCAGTGAATATGGTGGAAAACACGTTCGCACACCCGTATCAAAAAAAGGGAAGTCATGGACAAAATTTCAGTATTCGAATTCATGCAATGAGAGTTGCAAACCTGTTAAATGTTTTCTCATAACTTTTTTTCTGTTGAGTGCTGAGGTCTCTCTCTGCTGGTGTCTCCCTCTGGCGGTACTGTATGCTTCTTCTATTTCCTTACTGAAAGGCAGCTAGTTTGGCTCTGGATAGAGCCCTCCCCTCACTGTTCATCAAGGCTTTCTGCTTTGGGAATGAGTGATCACCACATCATCAACACATTTGCCAATGTATGATGTCACAGGTGTATATTCCTCAAGATTGATGTGGTTCTCTTGGGTGGCGGCCTCTCTGAACATGTGCCAGCCTGTGCACTCAACACAGTCCTGAGCTGCTGTAGCCTCATCTGTCCACACTTTGACTGTTGTTACCGTTGTTTGACCCCTCCAGAAATGTTAGTGTAAATGTTGAGTAACCATGGTCCAGGTTATTGCTTCCCCTGGTGTGGAGGTGGACATGCTGGTGGAATTTAGGTAAAACAGTTCTAAGATCTGTTTGATTAAAATCCCCAGCTACAATTAAAACACCATCCGGTTGTTTACTCACGTCACTGCTGATGACCTCGTACAGTTCTGTAGCAAGCCTAGTGCTGTCCAAAGCTAACGTCTCAATGAACACATTATATTCTGTCCAAAAACTTGAATGTAAAAACATCAAGTTGTAGTTTTATGGATAGTTATGTGCCAGACTATAGTAAGCTTAAGTCCTGACAACACTTCAGTGTTAGCCTCTGTTCCCCTAGCTTGTGTAACTCAATGCAATCTCTTATTGAGTTTCTTTCTGTGGTCATCTATCCCTGTGACAAATTGGCATCCACTACAGCACTTACTATTAGAAGTTGAAACCTTCTGTGATTTTAACAAAGTCAGAATAAAAAAAATGAACAGCTTCCAGGAAACCAGCTGGTTCTCGTGGTCAAAAACAATGTTAGAGCTGGAAATATGGAGTAAGACATGCAATAGTAGTTGCCAGGCAACCAGCCGAGGCTCCAAGAAGTCACACACCCCAGAAAATGGGTGATTTTTCATTTTTACACTGTTTTATACACTTCAGAGGTGCTGGTAGGTGGATTTTATAACCTTTGGATAGAAGCTGGGTCTCTGCTGTGTGTTCTCCGCTGTCCATGATAAAACTGGGAAAGGTCAGATGGCCCGGCAGCTTTGATGCCTTCGAATGGTCCCTGTGGGATTCTGAGCTCAATCCGCTATTTTTTGAAATTCAGATCCCAACAGTGCCCGACATGTTTTCTAAGATCTTAAACATGATTCAAACACACACACACACACGCGCACACACACACAGATCAGGCAGTTTACCAAACTCGTGATGTGTTTTCAGTGTTTACATTCATCTCCCTAAGCTGAACTCCTAACCTTCGGACACGACACACAAGCCCTCAAACACACAAACACACACACACTACAACATAATGTTACACACTGGTGAGATAAATTCAAAACAACAGTACAAACACTGGTTATAAGTAATGCTGCTTGTGGTTCTCCTCCTCAGAAACCTGTTCACATGTTGAACACAACAAAAGACACAACAAATTATATATATATATATATATATATATAGATATAGATATTTCAGCGAGATTAAATGGTTTTGACTGGAGAGCTTCATTTTGACCTAGAAATAGGATGTATGGGGAATTGGGGAGAAGCTGTGGATTTGTGTTTAAAGTTTTGAGAAAAAGAGGTATAAATTTCAAGAAATGTGTTTAAGCAATCGAGAAAAAACTGTAATTATACCCCACCAACATATGTTTATGGTTTTCTTTTCTTGTATGCTACTGTAGAAAACACTGTGCTGTTGTTACAAGAGTAATGTTTTGCGAAGTAAATGTTTTCTATTCCAACACTGCATTGGTGTTTACAGTTTACTTTTCAGTACCTCTCAGCAGATTACTTTCACTCCAGAACATTGTATAGAAATGTACACATAAGCCTATGAAAGACAAAAGTGTGTGCATGGTATATCCAAAAATTTACTATTATGAAAAAAGTGTTTGCTATTTAATGCAAATACTTCATTGCAAGTAAGTAGGAGGAGGTAGAGGGAGGAGTTCTCCGATCAATACCATGTGTTTATGGTATTTTGAATGTAGTGTTTACATGTGAGGCATTGTGCATTTTGTGTGTGTGGTTTTGGAAATATGTGTAGACTTTTTAAAAAAGGAGACATAGTTGAAAATGTGTGTAAGCAGTTAGTGTTTGCACAAGCGAGGAGTGGGTATGTGACCTGGTGAATAAGCATTTTGATTGGTTGTATTTGGAAAAGGAAAGCAGGTCACTTCCGGTGAGATTTTTGTCTTAGGTAGAGAATTGTGTTTTGTGTTTTTAAAAAAAGGGTTTTATGCAATTGAAAACTAAGGGAAAGGCTAAGAAATAGCTGATGGTTTGGGAGAGTTGGTGTGTAGTTATGCTCTTTGAGGGAGAGGTTTCAAAAACTGTGTCACATGTAAAGATTATGTGTGTAAAAACCTATAAACGCTGCAAAAAAATACCATATACTTTGAATATGTTGGTATATATACAAATTACAAGTTTATTTAAATAAAATAAATTCAACAATGCAAATGTCAACAAACCAAGTTAGCAACAAAAGTGAGTCCTAACAAGAGTTTGCATTGATTCAATACTATTTGAAGAACATTCTACACATTTCTTTAGATGTAGCATGCAGGATAAACAAAGAATTTATGTCAACTCAAGTCACAACTCATTTTGAGCCAAACTAATGGTGAGGTGGTCCAGATTGAAATATCCCAACAACTATTGGCTGGTTTGCCGTTAAATTATGTAGAGCCTCTGGCTGGGCTGGGGGACCGTTGGCCTGGTTCTCCCGCGTTATCGCTCCCTGGCGGCAGGGAACTTCCCGGCATGGCTTTCTGCTGTTCTTCCTTGGGGCGGGGTACAGCTTCCCCCGGGACATGCGGTCTGGGGTCCTTTGCGCTTTGGGGAGTCGCAGGGTGTTCTGGCTTCTGGGGGTGGGGGTCTCTGCACGGGTTGATCCGATTGCGGTTTGGTGGGCTGCGGTGGGATTGTGGGGCGATTGTCGATGCATCTTGATGCATTATGCTTTTTC